TGCCACAATTCCTTTTCTTACAGTCTTCTTTTGGGATTTTGGGCACATGCACATACATCTGGCATGATTTTTTAAGCTGCTAGGTCCAGGACTCAAACCATCAAGTCAGCTATGTGAGATCCAGTACTTTAACTTCCATGCCACCTGCTGGCCCACCTTTTCCCTCTCTCATTTCTTTTTTTTAGTTTTTTGTCATAGGGTGCTTGATGGAGAGAGACAGAAAGAGGGAAAGTGAGAAATCACCTCCTGGAGGGCTGGCCACACTATAATTCCTTCTCTGCCATTCTCCTCTTGGGATTTTGAGTATGCAAGCACACTCACCTGCCCTGATTTTCAAGCCACAGGTCTGGGAATTGAACTTCAGTGGGCCTTGTGGAAGTCCGGCGCCCCAATCACTAAGCCACCTGCTGGCCCTCTTTTTTTCTTCTTTTAATTGCCAGAGAGCACATGTGCTATCCAGGGGTAGAAAGGGGTGGGCAGGATTTGAAAGCACCCAGTGGGGCATGGTCATGTAGGATTTCTTCACCATTTCTCCATCCTGTTGGGGTTTTGAGCGTGCACGTACAGGTACCTGGTGTTTTTCATCAGTCCTGCTGGGTCAGGACTTGAACCACATTATTGACCATGTGTGATCTCGATCCTTTGACTACTAGGCAACAGGGCCACTTCCTCTATTCCTAAATCCCCACCCCATGGCCAACCTTAACCAAATTTAGCCTCAATTCAAGCTACTCAAATAGACTTGCTGTAGGTTATTTCACTGTTAATTTAAATTCATAATGCCTAAAGTTTTTCACTGTCTCATCCTCAATAAGTCAAAAACAAAAAGCTATCGAGAATGGTTTGGAAAATAGTAAAAGCAAAGGCAAAGAAGTCTTTTAGTATGTTATTACTCTAACGGTTAAGACAGATGGTGAAGGCCTCAGTAGAGACAATAATGTGGGGACAGCGAACAAAGCTGAGACATGGCAGACAAAGAAGTGCTGGACGTGGAGACCAAGATGGGCAATCAAGAGAGGAGGAGTCAAGAAGACTCCAGGAGACTGTGTTTTGTTTTTACTATCACTCAATAAGCTAGGGAATACCAGAGAGGATGATCGTGAATCTGATGTTTAAAATACTGAGCCAGGGGTCAGCCCCTGCTGTGGAGGTTAAAGTAGCTGGATTCCATATGCCTGACTGTGTGGTTTGAGTCCTGGCTCCAATGGTTTGAAAAACAAATTGGGCATATGTAAATGTGTGCACAAAATCCTGAAAGAAGAAATGGAAAGGGAACTGTGGTGTTGCCGGCCATCCTTGGGAAGAGCTTTCTTACTTTCCCTTTCTGTCTCTTTCCTGTGAGTGAATGGGGCTCCTAGCAAATGTATATTTTATACACACACACACACACACACACACACACGCACGCACACGCACACTGAGCCAGAGAAACCTGCATAACACCAAAGCAAAGGTCCATTTAGCTGTTGGATAAGGGTCTGAGGCTGAAGAGAAGGCTTAATTATAAACAGTAAGTGATAAATGAAAGCATGAGAGTAGAAGAAATTGACCTAAATGGGCATACAGTAGAAGGGAACCTAAGATAGGAAGAAATGAAAAGCAAATAGATCACAAACATGAAAATTGATTACTTACCTTCTTCTCAAACTGGATCTCCTTCCAACCCTATCAATGAGCCTATCTTTGCTAAAATTTTTCCCACTCCTTTGACTCCTGTATTCAATTACTGGCACAATGGAGAAGATAAAATAGACTGTAGAATCTTGTTTTCTAAAATCAAAACCATGCTCAATCACATACTAGCTGTATGACCTTGGGCAAGTTACTTAACCACTCTACTTAAGTTTTTCCATATATTAACAGTAAATTATGTCATAATGTTGTTATGAAAAATTAAATGAGTTCGTTTTTTTAAATAATTATTTATTTATTCATTCATTTATTTTTTAGTTTGATCAGAGAGAGAAAGAGGGTGAGAGTGAGAGAGAGAGGAAGTGAGAAAGCAAGCCACCAGATTCAGGACTCAAACCCTGGTCGGCCATGTGGGAGTGTCCAGCACCTTCACCACCATGCCACCTGCTGGTCCCCATTGAGTTCGTTTTTTAAATGATCTCTGTACAGGGAGTGGCATTTGTTATTTAAATAAACAAATGGGAGTCAATCAATTTTCTTTTCTTTTCTTTTTTTTTTTGGAGAGATTTTCACTGTAGGGCGCATGTACTCGCCAGACAGAGAGAGAGAGACATAGAGACAGAAAGCAAGCAATCACCCCCCAGGGGGGATGGTCACGCTGCAATCCCTTCTCCTCCATTCTCCTCTCGGGATCTTGGGCACGCACGCACACGCGCCCGGCGTGAGTTTAAGCCACCGGGTCGGGGACACGGAACGCGGTCGACTACGTGGGAGTCCAGCGACATAGCCATTACACTAACTGCTGGTTCCCTCAATCAATTTTCTTGATGAAATCCTTCATGTGAATCCTTTTCTCATTCCCATTTAAGACCCAAACAGTTGAGGTCGCTAAATATTTCATCTATCATCACTTAATCACTGTAATAAAATTGTTTTCTTAATGGTCACTAGTGACTTCTTAATAAAAAATAAAAGCAATCTTTTTTTCCCTCTCATTCTCCAGATGCTCTCTCTGTGAGTAGCAAAAAAACAAACGCAGTTTCTCCTACTATATTCTCACAACAAAGATAATTTTTGATACCTTTGGTCATTATCAAAATGTGTGTGTGTGTGTGTGTGTGTGTGTGTGTGTATGAAGAGTGTGTGTGGAGGGGTGGTTCTCCCTACCGATGAGTTCTCTGGCAGACTCATCACCAGACATCAGCTGGGTATCCTTTAATTTAATTCTGACACTGTCCACCTGGAAGTAGTGTCAGATCCCACTGAGACCTCAACTCCATGAGACTTCCCCTCACTTTAGATGCCAATCACAACATAGTGTCTATCCTTTGACCATTAGGCTATAAATTGGGGTTTCTGGAACCCACTCTTATGGTTTCCTTAATTTGCTAGGAAGGCTCACAGAATCTGGTAAAATATTTACATTTACTATAGAGAAAATGTCAGAGGATGAAAATGAACAGCCAGTTGAAGAGATACATAGAATAAGGTATAGAAGGGTCCCAAATACAAAAGCTTTCATTTTCATAGAATTGGGATGCCCCACTATCCACGTACATGGTTATGTTCTTGTTCACCTTTCCAGAAGCCCCTGAACTCAGTCCCTTTCAGCTTTTATGAAGGTTTTGTTACATAGGCATGATAGAGTAAATCAACGGCCATTAGTGATCCACTTAACCTTTATCCACTCTCTGGAGGTGGGAGATGGTGCTGTGAGTTCCAATTCTCTTAGTACATGTTACGTTCCCCTGGACTTTCCTAAATATTATTTTCTCTTGATTTCTGGGTCTTCCTGGTAGCTGGAACCCTGCATTCTTACACTTTATCTAGTACCTCTGTTTCTGCTACTATACTGGTCACTGCTACCTCCAATTCCTCTTTATATTTAATAAATGCAACCACTGTCCTCCCAAATTTCCTTCTTTCTCACTATCCCTTTCCTGATGCCAGCTACTCCCATGGCTTCCACCTCTATGCTGTAAGTCAAACACTTGTTTCTACCCGGAGTTTATGCTGAGCTTCAGATCTGCATTTCTAACTCTATGCTGGACAGCTCTATGTGACTATCTCATTATACCTTTACTTCAACATGTCCAAAAATGGCATTTGTAATCTACTATCTTATGGTTTTATTTCTAATATTGGCATCACAATTCCCCCCAAAAGCCAAAGGTCTGAAACCTAAGAAGCAGATTTGGTACCTATTTTTTCCTCATACAATTAATTACGGAGTCTTGACACCATCAACTCTGTCGCCTAACACTGACACAGCTGTTTCAGGAATTCTCTGCTCTTACCAAACTAACCTGTTACCCGTTTAAAAAAATCTGCAATAACAGCACCTAGCCTTTACCTACAGAGTTAACAGAAATCCTTTCCTATAGGCTTTCTACAGAACAAAATGACTTTCTGTAGTGAGAATTTGACTCTATCAGTTTCTTGCTTAAGACTCTTTAAAAAAAAATTACCCATCTGCTTTAGAATTAAACCTTTCACTCTCAAGACATTAGTCTACTTTCCCAGCCTCATATCCCACTCCATGCACAGAAGTTTCCCCTCCTGCGTTTTCTCTTCTCACACAAGTTAAGCTGTCATTCTTCCATAACTGCGTTTTCTAACTGAAATGCTCTTCCACACCATGTCCTCTCTAAGCAGTATATCTAAAGCCTTCCCAGCAACTGTCCCTTGAGCAGTTCACACACATGTGACTGATACAACCATGAGCGAACCTCAATAAGTTTGTGGAAAATAGAATTAAAGTATGAGCTTATTTCAGTGCAAAAGAACTTCAAAATCCATGCATGATGAATTTTCCATAAACTTTTTGAAGATGTATGTATCTCACAATAGCACGTGTGTGTATTTGGCTCCCCAATTTGACCCTGAAAACTGGAACAACATCTTACAAATTCCCAATGGGGTGGTTAGCCAATAATAAAAGTAGTGGTGTGGCCACGGGCTGAATTTGGGGAAACTCCAGTAACAGATCAACCTAGGACTCTAATTCTCGCGGGTTGGCACTGAAGCCTTGCTTTGGGCTAGCTCCTGAGGCTCGTTTTCACAGGGCCTCAGCTCTGGCACCTCCAAGATGCCAGAGCCCGGCGTCCACGCCAACTGCCCAGCCCTCGGCTGGGGTCCCAGGAGGCGGTTCCTGGGGCATCCTCAAACTCCCCACTCCGGACGCAGGGAAGGGAAAGGGGCGGGGCGCAGCGTGGGCCGGGCCAAAGGCTACTTAAGTCCCCCGGGGCCTAGGCCAGCCTCTCGACCCCCATCCCAGGGCTACAACTGGCTGATGCAGGGCCCCGGGGGGGCTCCATGTCGAGAGACCCCGCACCCCAGCCCGACGCTCTGGCCGCGTCCGCACTTACAGACTCCGGGGAAGGCCGCCGTCTGGATCCGGCACCGCCAGGAGCTCCGGCCCCTCGGGGCTCCGGGAAGGGGGGAGGGGCAGGGAACCCGAGCCAAAGGGGGACCCAACGGAACCGGAAGGGCAGCCCTGGCCGGACAAAGACAACTTCCAGGTCCCATGGTCCTCTCCGCCAATCGGAAGGCTTGGAGGACGACGGGGCCCCGAGAGGGACTTTATGCGTTGTGGGCGGGCGCGGACTGTTGGCCCCAGTGTGTCTGCCGGTTACCCCGGGTGCGGCGGCTACGTAGTTTGGGCGACTCCGGCCCTGAGTGCTCTGCGAGCACCTGCTGCCTCCAGGTCTGTCC